CTGTGTGCTGCTGGAGTATAAATCCCAGTTCTGTGTGCTGCTGGAGTCAGGTGGGAAAGTGATGCAGAAAGAAAAAGATCTGACTCCTCCCAACATCCTCCTGAAGTTCAGTTTTAAATGTTTACAGGAAGTTTTTAGAAAAGCAGCTGTTACTCTTACACACAGTTTAAAATGTTTTCCTAAACTCCAGTTAAAGTACTGGTAAGTTGTTTACTTCAGATTTAATAAAACACAAACAATCAGAGGTCGAGCTGCAGGAACAACGAGGCCAACACTGATCTGTGGAGATCAGCAGCATCCCTGAACTGCAGAATGATCTGTGGAGATCAGCAGCATCCCTGAACTGCAGAATGATCTGCATCTTGGATTTTGATGTGGCAACCCAACTGATACACCTGGATGCAGCCACGCACCAAAACAGAAGCCAGAACCAAACTTATATTTTTCTGTTACCGTGCTCACAACATGCACGGACAGACGGACAGTTCCGAGTCCCCCCCCCTCCAAGGACAAAAGGAAGAAAAGACAGAGTCCTGCCTTCAAGGAAAGGTCCAACTGAACACAGAGGAGTCTTTTAAAGACAGGAAGTGATGTCGTTCAGTCCAGCTTTACGAGGTTAAACCGGCACCAGCGCCTCTAGCTGGAGTATAACACCTCCCAGTGTTTCAGTCCTGTTTTTGTCACAGTTATTATAAATACTTGATTTTAGAAGTTCTTATTTTTTATTATTCCAGATAAGAACCCAAAAGGTTCCTGAAACAGCAGCAGGTGATCCCGGCGGCGTTCTGGTGACGTACCAGTAGTTGGGTGCTGAGAACACGGTGATGCACTTCCCTGAGTGGGTGACCTCGTAGCCCTCAGCCTTCACCTCATGACTTCTCACGATGTAGTCCAGCTTGTTCTGCTCCAGGAAGCTCTGCGTCACGTCGGGTCCGAACTGGCAGCTCACTCCTCGCTTGCTGATCGACCGGCCGTTCTACACGACACAAACAGGATTCAAGAACGAGGTCGCTCCAAACGGAGAGGCCTGAAAGCTCCAGTCGACCGCCTGAACTGACCTGAGGCTGTGGGTCCGACCAGAGGAGGTCACACATGGGACCTGCGGAGGAAAAGCACGTGTTCATGTGTTGCCGCTCCATTATCGTCATGCGAGGTTTGTAAATTAGTCCCTACCCGAGTCTGGAGGCTGTCTGTTCCTGTCGATCTTCCTGAGGTCCTCCAACGTGACGCCATCTTCACTGAAAAGTCCTCCATGCATAACCTGAGACAAAGAGCCCCGTTAGGACCGTCACTTCAACCGTAACGGCGTCAGCGAAAGGTGGAAAAGCCCTTATTGGATTTTTCGGCCTGTAAGTCGCAGTTTTTTGCATAATTTTTGCAACTTATACGCCGAAGCGAAGCATTTATGGATTTTTCCCATATTTAAAAACAGTTTCTGGCTGAGATCTGACCGTTTTCATTCGTTCTGACTGAAAATATTGAACGCTACCATTTTCATTTAGATGGCACTCAAGTCGTACAGCATGCCGTTGTGTCATGTAATAGGTAAAGTGGCTATTAATGACACGATCATCTTGCCATACCATGCCACCTTAGTCCAGCTCGTCTGGAGCAACTGTCAAATCAGCTTCATGTCGCCGCCCCGGTGAAATGCAGCTGATTTGACCACTGAAGTGATTTATTAAGTAAAAGTTCAACTCAGACACACCTTTACTATAAGGTCGAACAAACAAATAATTGTTTTTAGGTGCTTATCTTGTTAAATTTCCAAGAAATGTGCAGCGTTGCTACTTCCTGATTTCCTCCCTCTGCGCGCTCCTGGAGCACGGAGGCAGCGAATACGTTTGAAAATGCAGCTGATTTGACCGTTAACGTGCATTTATTAAGTTAAAGTGAGACTGAGACACAACTTTACTATAATTTCAAGAAAACAAATAAATGCTTTTAAGTGTTAATCGTGTTAAATTCTTGTTAAAGGCCATTTGGCAGCCAATCGATTTTTGACACAACACCGGCCACATTTCCAGGTCGTCAGCGGTGACGCGCAACAGATGCAACATATACGGCGAAACGACATATTTATGTTTTTTTCCACTTTATTAGACACATCTGGACAGATGCGACTTACAGGGCGGTGAAACGTGCACGGCGAAAAATACGGTGCATCTTCTGTGTTTTTAAAGAACAACAACGTTCCGGGACCACCGAGTAAGATTATAAAGAACAGAGCGAACATGAACCCTTAACAGCTTCTAATTACGGCAACAACCAAAGCAGACCGAGTTAAACACTTTGTGCCGTGAATTTTTAGAATTTTAGAGTTTATTTATTATAAAACAGACATGAAGCAACAGCCAGTGACAGATTAGCTCTGAAACAAAAAGGATCCAGTTCATCACCAAACCCAAACCAAACTGAATCGCTGCCACAAATATAAAACCTTCAGGTTGTTTGTTGCCAGAACTTACCAGAACTTTGCTGTTGATACACTGAGCCAGAGGAAGCCACTGGAAGACCTCACTGAACAGCTGGAACATCTGGGCCGTGTACTTGGCTTTGACCTCCCCTTCGAAGCCGTACATCTGGTTCATGTTGTCCGTCTCGTGGTTGCCTGAAGGGACACGCTCCAGGTTTGACTCCTCTCTGATGAAACCTGGCATGTAACACTACGAGCGTGCGCTCACCTCTGAGCAGGTGGAAGTTGTCGGGGTAGAGCAGCTTGAAGCCGAAGAGGGTGAGGATGACCTCGACAGAGAAAGAACCGCGGTCCACAAAGTCGCCGTTGAAGAGCTGGAAGCTGCTGTTAAGATCAATGACGCACAGATTCAGAACGAGCCAGGGGTAAGACCGTGACGAGCGGCTCTTAGAGATTAAAAGGATACGTAGGGGCTGGTCTCGGAGGGTAAACCGTTCAACTCGAAGATGTTGAGGAGGTCGTAGTACTGCCCGTGGGTGTCGCCACAAATCGTTATCGTTTCGGCCTGCGGCAGAGAGAAACAGCAGCTCGAGCAGAATCTGAACTGACTCAAACTTTACTAAACACAAAGAAGTTCAGCTTTTTGTTCTCACCTCCTTTAATGTGACTTCAACCAGACTTGGTAGTTTGGACAGAACATCTTTAACTTGTACTAAAATCTGAAGGAGAGCAGAATCATTTTAAAGTTTGACGAAGGTCTAGGTGTGCGCTCGGACAGCAGCAAGGCTTTACCTGGTAAGCGCACTTCCTGTGCAGCTTCTTCTGATCTCTGAACCAATCCATCAGCTCCGTCATGAACTGCAGCGTGACCTTCCCGTCTTCGAGTTTGGGGCCGACGTATTCGTCCTCAATGGCTGCAAATCAAAATGAACTTTCATTTATTTTCAAGGAGTGCGAGGTCGAATCCAGTTTAAAGGTGCATCACGGACACCGTTCATTCTGAACAGACTTTTTGCCAAAAATCGATCTGTGCAGCCACTTTCAGGCTCAGCAGTGGTTTCCGTTTGTCCCAGTATGGCTAATTCTACTTGCAGTAAAACGGTTAATTTTTATTTATTCGTTCTTCACTGAACCCTAAGGATCAGTCTGAACACTGAGTTATCACAACAGCACTGCCTTTAATGTCTGCGACTTACTTGATTTGAGTATAAACACGATGCTAGCCGTGTTAGCCGTTCTACGGCCTTTTCAATGTTAAGTTAGCATCTCTGCTAACCGCTGGTCAGAAGCCTGTTATTAATGTTTGTTTACATGTTTCTTTCACTCTTTAATATGCACAAACATAAATACATCAGTGTTTACTTGTGTAAAATAAGCCACAGTCATTTAAGCTTTAAGAAAATCAAAATGCGCTGTAATTGTTTTATAAAGGCGTCGCAGGGCTCGGAGCTGAAACAGAACCGTTGAGGTGCGTGAACATCCCCACTCCTCTTTATGTTGACAGTAAACAATCACGCAGGTTGTTGTTTAAACAATCGGGACTGTTTCACCGGCGGTGTCAAGTGAAAACTCAGCAAACGCAGATCTACGGGTCATTTGTTCGGTAATACCAAGAAACTTACTCATGCTTTCAATGTCCAGAGAGTCCACTACTGATTTCTTCTTCTCGTCGCTGGCGATGGCTCTCTCGAAGGCTTTCTGTTTCACGATCTTGTTGCATTCCTGATACTTCATTCTTGCATCCTTGTCATTCGGTCGAACTCTTACTACCTGGAAAACATTGAGCGCGCCTGTTAACCAGTATTAGGACACATAGGTAGGTGTGGCTGCAAGCAATGAGAACATAGATGGTAAAAAAAGGGTCTTTGGTACTAAAACTGAACAAACCAGACACTAAATGGAGCTTTTAATCAACTGTGATGATGACTGAATTACAGAAATGTCACTATTTTGAAGTATTTCATGAGTCAGCAGAAGTTGTGAGACAAAATGAGGGACAAGAGTTATGAAAATGTTTCTCAGATGGCAGCTCAAAGTGAAATATGTTAGATTTCTTACCGTTTCATAATCCTTTAGAGCAGCTTTGAACTTGCCCAGCGCCATGTTGGAGGTGGCACGGCGGTAATATCCTTTTATGTAGTTTTTGTCTACCTCCAGGGCCTTGGTGGCGTCTGCCAGGGCGTAGCCGTAGCACTCTGTGCGCAGGTACGCCAGGCTGCGGTTGCTGTAGTAGATGGCATTTTGTGGATTGAGCTCCAGGGCCTCTGTGTAGTACTTGATTGCATTATCGTAATCTTTTTCTGAAAAACAAATCGGCACCGAATGAACATTTGTGGATCGATGCAGGAGCCGAACAACAAGATGTGAAACGGACTCAGTTCTGAGGAGTTCAGACCGATGAAGTGCGAAGACCTTTATGTTTACAGGACATTAAAAAAGGGATTGGTCTTAATCTCGATTCAAACAAAACTGATTTCATTAATAGCACAAGATCAAAAACAGAGAGACGTTCAGTCACTCACTGAATTAATCAGTACGGACTCGTTTCACACCGAGTGTTGGACCATTAAACAAATAAATCTAAATCCAGCATTTTATCAACAACAATCAAAATCTTTGTCCATCTGTTCCCACTTCAGGGGTGAGTCATCCTCCTCCGTCTCACTCTGTCCTCTTTGTCCTCTGCATCCTCTGTCCTCACTCTAACTATGGTATAAATGAGGTATAAAGGCAAACTTACCTGGTACATAAAAAGATAAATTGCTGTTAAATCTCTAAACCATAAGTGGCGCGCCGCACACACTATACTATTTATCATCATTAAAACTATAAAATTTAGCTTACAACTTGTAAATTAGTATATAATTTGTAATGTACTCGAGTGTACTTTGTGTATAAATGAAATGGTTTTACTTTAGCACACAAAAGTGCACTAAGAATGATTAAAAAAAAAACTTTCAGATTTACTTACAACTAAATTACAATTAGTACAAATTAAATGGATAAAAATAGCACACTCTTAGTATTCTTACCCCTAACCCCTCTTGTAGTACATTAGTTACTGGTCTGCTAAGACTTATATTCTGTATTTATTTTACACCTGGGGCTGTTGTCGGAGTCCACAGAAAACTAGAGCTGTGCATCCAGATACACGAAAGCACGGCTTCTTTAAAGGGTTTATATAGAAAAGAGAGGGCATGACGTGTGCACAGTTACAGCACGTTCACACGAGGAAGTTACTGAACAATTGTTTCTTTCACAAGCAGAGAAGGGGTGAGCTCCTTCTGAAACATGCTCGTCAACAACACGCGGTCACGGTGAGAGAAAGCCGCAGTTCGCTGAACATCCTGGATGCTGTTAAAGTTAAGAAACAGCTCTGCTAACAGCACATGAGCTAGCTAACACAACGAGCTCTACTGTCGATTCCACCTAAAAATACACAAGAAATGACACTAAGGCTGGATTTAAACACACCGAGCTCGTTAGCCCTCACAAAACACTGACTGTCAGTGGCTGACGGCGTGTTTAGCAGCTAAAGCAGCAACGGCTAACCAACTACCTAAGGAATGAATGGAGATTACAGTTAGCATTAGCTTAGCGGCTAAAGCACCAAAGGAGATTAAAGTTAGCATTAGCTTAGCGGCTAAAGCGCCAGCCGTCAAAGGAATGAATGGAGTTTGGTTAGCATTAGCTTTGCGTAACATTTGAAACCGGCTCCATTAATCATTAATTAGTTAAAATCATTCTGCAGATCCTGTAGTTGTCTATTCTAAGCTGCTAAAATAAGTCACCAGCTTGTCAGGTCCTCTGAATTACCTTTGAAGTACTTATTTGCCTTCTCCTTGAGTAGCTCTGCATCGTTAGCTACCTCCGCCATCTTCTTCTCCGTGTCGCTTTACGACTGTCGTAAAGGTCGTAGAGTCTGTTTCCTTTTTACTCCACTTTCAGTTAGATTTTTTATTATGGAGGAGTTTTACAAGTTATTATTATTCAGGAAATGAAAAGCAGTAAAATGTAAACTGTACTTTTTATGTAGATACATGCGTAAACTTTTAAATATTAATAAACACAAACTTATATAATTAAAAATAAAATAATTTCTGTTTTTTTTTTAAATAAATAATGAACATAGATAGACCTAAAATTATTCAGTAAAGCTAAAAAAAACTTGTTGATTATAAAATATATCAAGTAATTTCTATATTATTTTTGACATAATAGATACTCTTTTTTTTACATTGTATTTATTATAGTATTTTACAACCAGTAAACATGCCATAGGGTTATAACAACAACAAAAAATAAATAAAAAGAATACATCTTAAAATACATATGGCCAGAAACACCTATAATAAAAACATAATTTAAAAAAATCCCTAAAATGCAATGAATAAATTAAGTTGTCAAGCTTAAACTTAGTAAAATAAGGTGTGAATAGAGCGTATTATTACAAATTCAAATATGTGAAAACTAAGAAAAGCAAGATGTTAGGTTCAAGATTAAAATCTCTGGACTAGGAGCTCCTCAGGATCCTCCAGGAGGAGCTGTAAAACCAATCCAAAGACAGCTGGTACGTTTATATTTATCTAATGTTTAGTAATTTTACCTGTTTCTGATAAATAAAAACTGATCTAAATTGTGACAATGGCTATTCAAGAGATTTAAGTAGTATTTTGTTTTACCTCCAGGGGTCAGTAAATCATTTCAAATCAGTGAGACAGTCAATATTTACAGTCTAATTATATCTGTGGAAATACCCATGAACTCCAGCAGCTGAGGGGTTTTTACTCACCTATGCTCATGAGTAAACTAAAATAATGTGAGGGGAAAGTATTAAACTGGTGACACATCCTCTAATAAGATGATGACTATGTGTTTTTAAGAAAGCTTTAGTGGACGGTCCACTGGTTCACCTGAAGGGAACTTTCCCCAGACGTGTTTAGAATTATGGTTTTTAATTTCCTCGAATCTGATGGAACGACTCGTGCTGGTTAAAATGTCAGAGCTCAGTTCCCTCTGGTCGGCCCAGCCTTCAGCAGTGGTCTTCTGCAACCACAGAAAAACAATAATAAAATGAAGTGGTGTGGGGGTGCACAAGTTCACTCACACGGCATGTCAAGCACAACCGGCCTCTCATGACTGGTCTGTAAAAACACCAGAGGAGACGAACCAGTTTGAGAAACGTGTCCTCCCCACAGACTGCTGTCAAACACCTCGTGGCGTCAGGACAGACGAGCGTCCTGCAGCAGTTCCTGAGGGTCATGTTTGTGTGTGTTGGTGTTTGGGGGTTAGAAGGTCAAGAGGATCAGAGGTGTCCAGGAGCAGCATGTGTCTCGGTGGATCCAGTCCGGACGGTGACTCATCGTGAGTCACTGCCGTCCCCACTTCCCTCACAGCTCACTTTCTCTCAGTGCCATGACTTTCTCTGAGCCACAACACGTTTAACTGATGGTTTTTAGAAGTAGCGCCTGGGGGAGGTGAGGGTGAGTGTTGGAAAGAGAGGGGGAGCGTGAGATTGACGGCGGTGACGTCCCGGCCTCAGAGAGTAAACGCAGACAGTGAGTGGGTGAGACAGAGTGGGGGGGAGACGGCAAAAAGAAAAGTGGGTAAGAAAAGACGCACGAGGAGTTCTGAGAGGGTTCAAACAAACAAACTGAGGAGCGCTGAGGTGGAGCAGCCGGAGGAGGACACGGACGGAGGTCAGGAGAACGTGATCATCACTCCAGGCCTGCGCGCCAACAACCGACGAAGCCCGAGCGTGTTGAGGGTACGGTTACAGACGGTTTGTTGTCGTGGACCAGCAGAACTGCTGAGAGCAGCTTCATCCAACACGACTCGTGTGACAGAAGAAGGTTTGACACTTTGAGTAAAATGTCAATAACAACAAAACTCGATGTTGTGTGAACATCATGAACCCAGATGTTATTCACAGTGGAACAAATGAGACACGTCAAATGTTAAAACCAAGAAACGGAAACTTTTTATAAACAAAATTAAACTAATAATTTTGGATGTGATGTCAACAACGTCTCTTTAAAGTTCCCCAACAACTGTCCAGGACCTGAGGAGACCAGTTGCTGGAGAAGCAGGAGGACCTGAGGAGACCAGTTGCTGGAGAAGCAGGAGGACCTGAGGAGACCAGTTGCTGGAGAAGCAGGAGGACCTGAGGAGACCAGTTGCTGGAGAAGCAGGAGGACCTGAGGAG